CGCACACACACACACACACACACACACACACACACACACACACACACACTGCTTTCATACACAGTAGTGTTCCTAAAATAGCAGCTGTAGTTGTTCAGTGTATGTGATGCAGAATCTCACTGATGTGGTTGATCAATGTTTTTATTTGTCCATTTGAAGTTTAGAAAGTTCTTACAGCTGTTGTCAAAGTAACTAAATACTTTTACTCAAGTACTGTACTTAAGTACAATCTATGATACTTGTACTGTTCTGGAGTATTTACATTTGTCTGATGCTTAAAACTCCTTTTATTTTAAAGCTTTACTTACTTTGCAAAAAATTCATTTCAAACAATAATATAACAGTAAACTAACAACTTCATCAGTGTTTCTACTGGCTCCATCAGTGTCACTTGTTTTGCTAGTCCCAGTGGATCAGTCTGAGGCTGAATTTCTTTCCCAGTCCGACCATGGAGCCGATACTGGTCTGGTTTACTGAGAGGAGAACCCTATGAGCAGCTAAAGGCTCCAGCTGGAGCTGAACTGTTTTTTTTTCTCCTCCATGTGTGAATTGGTTCGTAATGTTTTATGTCTGTTTTCATTAGTGACAGCTACAGTAGACATGCTAACATTAGCCAACTTGCTGTTACTGATATTATGAATGTGTTCATAGCATATGTTTTTATTGCTAGCTTACTTACTGTCAGCATTGCTGTGGAACATATCACAGCAGTGCTAGCCTTAACCAAGTGTTTACGTAGCCTAAACCTAACATCATGTGGGACACAGGAACCCGGATGCCTGGTGTCACAGTCAAGGCCTTTGTAATTCTAGTCACCCCCCCCCCCCCCCCCCACCAACTTCTGTATGACATGACTTCTTAAACTGAAACAAACAAAAGCCAATCAGCTGCTACTTGTAGATACTGTAAACACATTGGCTGTAAACACTAACTACAAGGGTGTGGATTGCTGTCTTTTTTATTCTTCTTCATCAAATTTAATGTTGCGTCACTGTCTTCTACTGTTTATCTTTCTGCTTGAGTTCCTCACAAAGTATTGTGGGTACGCCTCGGGGTCAAGTGTGATGCTGAAATGTTTCTGTTTTGTAGGAGAGAGGAGGAGGGAGGTTAAATTATCACTCCTCAGGGAATAATTTTGAACTTCTGACATAGACACACAATCAGAGGGTCAAAGGTCGAGGACAAAGGGAAGAAATAAATATATCACAGCTTTACATGTGACCTGAACCTGAAAAAAAAGTGGCTGCCCCACAAACCAAACACCTAAAAGCAACTTTTATGCAACTGGTGACGACACATCGCTCTGACATGACCCACTTTGACCGATGATGTTCACTGGTTTCGCAAAAACTCAGACCCTTGTGTGTGTGTGTGTGTGTGTGTGTGTGTGTGTGTGTGTGTACACCCCATGCTGAGGTTTTGTTTTCAGGTCACTGGATCGATCGTTGTCTTAAGTTGTGTGAATTGGCACCGAGCTGGAGTTGTGTTAACACCGGCTTTCAACAGTCCACTCTGTCAAAATGTTTGGATTTATTTTGGATGGGAAAGAAGGGAGGGGCGCGTTAGGAAAGAAGTGAAAGGGAGGTAAAACGCAGAGAGTGATGGGAAAATGTGATCGAGAATATTTTGGGAATTTTTGTTATATCAGTGCAGCGGAAGAAGAAGCTCAAATACATGTCAAACAGTCGTATTTCTGTGCTCTATTAATGTATACACGATAAGACAACAGTTTGTTTAATGTGCACAAAGTGTAAAGATGACGGTTTGTTGTTTTACTGAGGTTCATGTGCCAGAATATTTCTAATGAGTCATTTTCATGCTTTATTGTTTTAAACAAACAACATAATGTTTTAATCATGGAGCTGGCAGGTGGATTTTGATCCCTTTAGACAGAGCCAGGCCCAGGCTAGCAGTTTCCCCCCGTTTCCAGTCTTTATGCTAAGCTAAGCTAACTGTCTGTAGCTTACCATTCAGATGTGAGAGTGGTATCGATCAGAACGTGAGACTCACGGCAAGACACTGGATAATATCTGGATGTTTCTCAGAATATAGAACTACTCCTTTAAAAATAGTTATTATTGATCATTATTATTATTATTTATTGAACTAAATGTAACAGAACCCAAACAAGTAAACGGTTGCACGCTGGTTGCAAACTTTTTCATGCATTAACTCAAGTCAAAAGTATCATTTTAGGTAAATTTAAAGCTATTTAAGCAGAAATATAAGAAGCACTAATTTATCAGTCCTACATTCAAAAAATTACAGAAAAAGTAACTAACACCAGTTTGGAAAACTTTGCATCACAGCAACTCTCTGTTACTGAAAGTTACACTGTTGTAGGTGTGGTAGGAAGTAACCACACCCACAACAGTGATGTCACAGCACACTGACACACCTTGGAGTACACGTCGACATCACCGCAGCAAATGAAGCAAGTTAAACCACTGAAGAACATTTTCACATTTTCACAGTTTTTTTACATGTGTATCTTCATTAAAATTGACTAATGTATAACAGTTAATTATAGTTAAAGTATGGCCCTTTAGAGTGTTGTCTTCTTTTGTCTTATGGGTCTGCGGTTCCCAAAGACGGGTCTGGGGACCCCCAGGGGTCCTCGAGGGGTTCCTGGGGGTCATTTATTGTCTATAATTCCATGCATAAGTAGCACAATGACAGAATGTGGGATTATTCTGGTCGTGGGTTTAAACACTTTCTGTAAATAAAATCTAAATAGAAAAATCTTATCAGACGGGGATTGTGGTCTAATTTGTGTCAGTTTAGGTCGTCGATGTGAAAAAGTTTGAGAACTGGTTATAAATGAATTTGAACTTCTTCTTTTAACTAATGGAAAATGACGTAGTGTGAGTCAAACGTACATTATTTTGAAATATAGAGAAATAGAAGTGCAATGAAATGATCACGTAAAGAACAAATAGAATCATATTTAAGTTGAGGGAAAGTACTTAATTACTTGTCATTACTCGTTAATATTTAAATACTGCAGTGTAACAAAGCCTCTAATGCAGCAGTAATGAATTACAACCGACCTAAATATACAAACTATTTGTTATTTTAGGAGGATTTTACTTGCTGTTGGTGAGGCAGCCACAAACTAAACCTTCAGTTCTTCCACAGGAAATAACGTAAAAAAAAAGAAGAAGAAAGAAGTAGGTTAAAGGAGAGAGAGAGAGTGTGAGAGGAGTTCTCCTTTGCAGTTGTCATTTCTCTGGCTTCATGTTTCAGCCGGCCGTCGTTCACCTCTCCTCTCTCTCCTCCTTTTTCCATCCTCTCAGGTTTCTTTATCTCGGCCCGTCTGTCACCTCCTGTCTCCATCATTCTGTTTGTCTCAATCTCTTTTCTCTCTGCTCTCAGTTTTAACTCTTTTCTCCCTCACTCCTCTCTCCCTGCCTGGTGTTCACCTTCACCCCCCCCCCTGCTGTGTGTTGTGGTATGTAGTGACATCCAGGGTTCCTGTGTGTTTAGCCCGAGCCAGAGCAAAGATTAAAAGACTCTAAAGTAACATAATCTCTTAAATCTATTGACATAAACTCTTTCACACGCAGCGTACATCTCTATTTTCCTGAGGAGATGCAAACATCTGGACTCACACACACACACACACACATGCCTCCTCTGGCTTCTCTGTGTCCTCAAAAGATACAAACATCTGTACTTTCAAACAAACACACACACACACACACACAACCCCGCGTACACATTCATCTTCTTTTACAAAAGATGAGAAACATCTGGCTGCTCGTGCAGACTCGGAGTGACTGTACACATCTGTGTGTACTGAACATAATCCTTATCTGATTATGTTCGTCAACAAACAGCCGAGCGTGGAGCTATGTGAGCAATGTGCATGATAACTCTGGCATCCAGAGGTGGATTACACTTAAATTCCAGGCTGTTTATGTTTGTGAGGCCGGAGTTTCATCAGAGCAGCAGCATCCACACAGAAGAACGACCGACAAAGAGCCTCCTCCTCATCATCATCAGAGTTAGGAAATCACATGAAACTGTAGGAATCTGTCCTCAGGCTACGTCCACACTACTACGTTTTAGTTTTAAAACACATTTCTTTTGCTTCGTTTACTCCTGGTGTCCACATTACTATAACGGAGACTTTCAGAAACACTGCTGGACTCGTTTTAGTTTGAAAACTCTGGGTTCATGTTGTCGCCTGGACGGACAGAAACTGAGACCTTTGGGAATGATGACGTAGACACCCGCGGCCTCGCCCTGATTGCGTCTCATCAGTCACGACTACCAGTGAAGAAAACAACACAGATGACGAATTACAAGCGTTACCGACCTTGTTGTCCAACAACCATCAACCCTCTGATACGACCCATAGCATCATCTCCTGAAACAGCCCCCCCCCCCCATGGCGGCAGGCGTAACGACACTTGGTTGTCATTGGTTACGATAATAAACACGGCGACTGTACAGAGAGTGGCGTACCTGCCTTCGTCACCATGGTTACTATAATAACTGTCACGGCTTGGTTAGGTCTAGGAAAAGACAGTGATTCGGGTTAAAATAAGTACTTCCTCGACATTAGACGATCTTCGTTGTCATGGTTACAACAATAACAACGTGGTTAACTTTGTCGATAAAAGAAAACAACATGGATAAAAGAAACAACATAAACTGCTGGTTTCACATGGGAATCGAACACACTGCTCTCCACCACCACCTCCTCCTGATGTAGACTCTGTCTCTCTTTAAACCACGTCACCGACACTTTTCCCTTCGCTCCTGTCATCATCACTACAACCACTAGATGTCGCATAGCAACAAAACCTAACTATGATGTCATAATAAGCTGCTGCACAGACGACCTGTGGGCTCGTTTCTTACAGGAGGAGGGACCAATCAACTGCAGAGTAGACAATCTGCTTCCTGTTTACACTGGTCCGTAGCCGTAGCCTCACACTCTGACTCCGCCCACTGAGCTTCAAAGAAAACCAGCCAGAAAAACAGTCACTTACTTTGTTGTTGTGTTTTGTCTGATGGAAACATGAAAAGCTGTGAAGTCGCCTGCGTCACTTCATCTTCACGCGACCCTGAAACCATGAGAAATAAAGATGAAGCCTGTTTGTTTCCGCTGCTGAAAACAGGATCCACTTACAGTAAATATTAATAACTGACATGCAGCTGAGTTTCTGTCTAATGACATGCATCTTTAAAAAAGTAAACCAATAACCCACAAAACTGACATCGTGAATCTACAGACAAGCTGCAGAAAATCCAATAATCATGTTTTTTTTACATGATTATGGAACAAATAAAAATCTGTTTTCCCTTTATCCTTCCTTTTATCTTCCCATGCAGACAGCAGAGATGAGCCACTGCTGGAGAACTGGTAAGAAATTGTGTTTTAATATTCCCTCTAATGTTATTGTAGATGACTCTGTGAATGATTCATGTCGAAACACACGTGGAAACATAAATCAAATCATCCACCATCCATCCCCCTCTCTCTGTCTCTCTACAGACTTTTATTTTGACAGCTGAGAGGAAAGAAAGAGGGAATCTCTCTTTTTCTTTCTCTCCTCATCCATCTCTTCCTCTGTTGTTTCTGTCTCTGAGACCTCACTCTGATTTGTCTGTTTCAGGCTGTTTCTTGATGTTTGTAGTTGTGTGATGTGAGAGTGACATGAAGAGGAGGAAATGAAGAAGAGGAGGAGGAGGAGAGCTCTGGGTTTGTAATCACTCTGTCTCTCCACGGCCTTCGCCTCGATTAGCCCTGCTGTCAACACCATTTAAACTGAGCCCGAAACAGGCTGCACACACACACACACACACACTGCAGTATAAATGTAGACTTCTGCTCTCTCTTCCTTTTTCAAACAAACTTCGTGACAGATGCATCTCCTCTGCAACAGTGTTTTTTTTTCATTTCTAAACATCCTCCATCTTTGACTCTCAGTACTTGAGTGTTTGTTTGTGTGTTGAGGCTTTTGTATGAAAGAGAAATAGAATCCATATAGAATGAAATTCATTTTTATTTTTATTTTCCTGATCAAGGTGATTACTTGAAGTAATTTAATTCAGACAGAGGCATCATTCAGGTAAATATTGAAACTAGAATCACCGCCTCGTGGTTGTATCCCTCCTCCGCTCTGACAAGTTCCAGGTTACATCTCTGTTTGTCCAGAGTCATATAAAATATTAACCATTTGGGTCACTGTGACCCTGACCTTTGACCTTTGACCACCAAAATATAATCACTTCATCCTGTGTCCAAGTGAAAGTTCCTCCAAGGTGTTACTGAGATATCGCGTTCACACAGCCAAAACTGTGTTTTATGAGGTCACCACGTCTGTGACCTTTTGACCTTTGACCCCCAAAATGTAATGAGTTAATCCTTGAATCCTAGTGAATGTTGGTGCCTAATTTGAAAAAGTTCTGTCGAGGCGTTACTGAGATATCGTGTCCACGAGAATGGGACAGTTCCTCCGGCGCATGGGAATAACATCACAAAGACATAATAGAATCCATCTAGAATTAAATGAATGTTAATTTTCATTTTCCTGATCAAGGTGATTACTTGAAGTATTTTTTAATTTCTTCAGACTGAGATAAAGGGCATCTAACCAGATCATCTTTCTATGATTACATCTCGTTAAACTCAGCATGTTTCTTAATCAGACATAAAAGTCTGACTTTAAATTACAGATGTTTAGAAACAGCCTGATACTTCCCCTGTAACACTCACTGCCGGCTCCTCTGTGACGACTCTGCCACGTCCTCAGTGTGTGGAGGCTGATGGGCACGTAGGTTTTAATCTCCCCGTGTGCTGCAGGCATCACCCTGTTGATTTAAGGTGCTAATAGATTCAACAGAGGCTGGAGGAGAAGATGCTCAGAGCAGATGGAGGATATGATACCTGAGGGTCCCGTTACAGCAGACTGGGCTTCATCTGATCTACTGGGTGGAAGCTCGTTAGAATTTAAAGCTGTGATATACGACAGTGTTCAGATGAGATTACCAGCTCTGCCTTTCTGTACTGTACTATAACTCAATAGGAACATTTAAAAGACTCGGAAACTTTACAAACCTTTACTTCTGGATTAATTAACAGAGTTTGTAAATTTTGACGTCAGCTGACCGAAAACGTAATGTTGATAACGTCTAATCCCAAAGTCAAGTTGACGCAGATCTCAGAAGAGCGTTTTGCCCCATAAAGGATCTGATTTTGCCTTTTTGCATTCATCATGTAATTTACTGCCCTCTTGTGGTGGCAACAGGGTGTTGTCTCTGGCAGCTAGCTTGATTTCCAGCTGTTGTTTCTATAGTTTCTCTCATTTTCGTGGGTGTAACCGTGTCCCATTGACAAAAGCTGGAGCTCGTCAGGCGGAGAGAAGTGTTTATTTCTGGAGAATAAGAGTTAGCTGGTTAGTTAGCAGTTAGCTAGGATAGCTGTGAAAGTACAGCGCAATGTATATGCACTTTAGGCTGTTTGTGTATGAGATAAGATAAGATAAGATGAACCTTTATTGATCCTCCGTAGAGGAAATTCAAAACTGACACAGCAGCACAAAAGAAAAGCAGCACAAGGGGAAAATGTGATAAGAAATAAAATTATAGAAACAAAATCTAAAATAATACGATAAAGTAGAAATATTACATACAATAACAATTCCAGCGTCTCCCCTGCGCTTCAACTACAGTCTGAAACAGGAGCCAGGAAGATAAACAACCCTGAGGCAAGTAAATACAGGATTCTACATCATCGCAGGAGTGAGTCATTGTCAGTTAATGGTAAATATTTTTGATATAAGTAAGTTTTAGATATTTTTATTCCATACTGCAGATTTGTTATGTTTAGTGCCTGAGCTGAGAAGAATGATCCTAAAACTTGCTCAGACAGGAAGGAGTGCAGAAAGGTGAAGATGTCCAGACAGGGAGCAGCAAGATGGAGGAGAGAGACTTTCAGCTCAAGATCATGAGACAGGACAGACCTCAGGTTTATGAGATTTGCTGCTGCTACTGTCATGAAAAGGCTTTTGTACTAGTCTGCTTCTATCAGTAAGAGTCACCACATGCCACTGAGCTGATAGCTGTTGATATTTTGTTGGTTAAAGTCGTGTTGTTACAAAACCAAAATCCAGTGTCTTCCAAACATCTCATACCAACGCCATCATGACATGTAAAACACTGACATTCAGGTCGTGAGCAAAACCCAACGTCTACGAAATGTCACAATTTCACAATTAGCAAACGCTGGGTTTTTACGTGAACCAGATTTTCATTTCCAACCAATTTAACATCTCTCTGATGTTAGAGTCTTCAGATCCAACATCGTTACACTCTTACAAAAACAGATTTATTATTGGTGCAATTTACAAATGAAATTGAATTGATGAGGTTCCTAATTTTTTTCCCCTTAAAATTAAAGTTGGAAATCAAGAGTAACATAAACGCTTCTATACAAGACAGGAAATAACTTTTTATATATCCCAGCCTCCTCCACTCTGTCATTCCAGACCAGACTATCCTAATGCACGACAGCTTCTAAAAAATTCAATCTACAAACTCATTACATTTCATAGCAGTCCTAAGTTTTCACAGCTGCTCCTCAGTCACCTGATCACTACCTGCTGCACACCTACCTACATTCCCCCTAATCAGCCACACTCCCTATAGACCTATATATACCTGCCTTCCAGCCACACTCAAGCCAAACACACTTCTGTGCCTCTGAACCTTAATGTTCCTGCCCCAGTGCCCCCCACTCGTGGTCCTGAACACTGAAGTGTGTGTTCATGCTGCCCGACAACTGTAGGCAACTGTGTGTGATGATGGACATACGCCAACACACAGTGGACTTCTCCTGACGCAGCCACTCAGAGCTGAGTGTGTCCTGCAGCTCGGCTCAGTCTGTTGCAGCACAGCAGCTGCTGCAGCTCAGTTGTATAGAAACACAACAATTGCTGCTTTGCAACAGATTTGTCGCAGAAAATAAAAGACCAATATTTGTGTCCCAAAACGATATTTTCAATGTTGAATATTAGCGTATGTTTGGGTCACCACTGGAGAATGATGCTCACGTAGTGGACACGAGCAGTGTTTCCCAGAGGCACCTGTCTGGGTTGTGAACGTTTACCTTAAAAACCTGAGCTGCCCGGTGGATGCAGCGTCTGATGGCTTCAGCAGAGGATGAGGAAGGACATGCTGTGCGGGTCGTTACGGTACCGACGGGTTTTACAGCTGTTATTGCAGTTTAAGACTCACACAGCTTTAAACTACTGCCTGACAGTCACTGATGGGATCTGATGAGGTCGGCAGTTGAACTGAAACTGCTCTCGCTTTCTGTGACAGAAAAAAATGTTTTTTATTTCATTTAATTTCTATTCCAATCTAAATCCATTTTAAATGAGTCGATACAACAGGATGCTGTTGCACTTTCTGTGGTAAAATACTTACATTTTATTGGCTGCACTGAAATTTGTGCCACTGCGTGAAACAACAGGTGAATCTGTGATTTGTGCTTCAGTCTGCTCTTTCATGACAGCATTTGTCAAGTCTCTCCCTGTATTACCACCTTCAGCTTCAGCTTCTTAACACAGGGACCTAAAAACACACATTTTCTGTTTGGCCTCGACATGCTTTTTCAATGTGTTTTTTCAGTCTTTAAACTTATCTAAGAGTGTTTAGGGGCTGTTATTTCACTTGATTTGTTTTATTTATCTTAAAATGACTCTGTATTGGTTTTTATACACCTGATTTTAATTGTTGTATGTTTCCCTTCTCTTTGAAATCTATTGACTTAATTGATTCTATTTTTTTCCTGTCTTTGTCAAGCAATTTGTAACGTAGTTTTTAAAAAGTGCTCTATAAATAAAGATTAAAATGAAAATAATAATAATAATAATAATAATAATAATAATAATAAACAAGTCTGAGGAAAGGACTGATGCTTGAAACAATTTTAAGTAAGTTTTTACCTTTACTGTTTTTCAGCAGTTTGTTTGTCTCCTAAATCATCAACCTGAAACATGAAGCCATCACTAAAGTGCTAAAAGCTGCAGTTCCTCTAATGACCTGTTGGAGTCTGGCT